TATCTCTATCTCTATCTCTATCTCTATCTCTATCTCTATCTCCATCTTCACCTTACTCTTCATCTCTATCGTCATCGTCATCGCCAGGTTCATCTTGAATTCTATCTCCATCTTCAATATCATTTTCATCCTCATCTTCATCTACATATTTATCAACATCGTCATCTTCAACTTCATCTCCATCTTCACCATCATCCTTATCTTAATCTTCACCTTCAACTTCATCTCCATATTAATTTTTAATTCCATATTTTGCCTTCTTCCCCTATTTAAAGTCTAATTTTGAGATCCTTCAAAAAGGATTTAAGGCAGAGATCTTCAACGGATAGTTACAAAAAGAGTTGGTGATCTCATTATTAAAAATCTGTAAGACTGATCGAATATTATTTGTCACAGGTCTGGTGAAAAATTCGATGGATCGCTAGTTTTTTCTGATTTTTTGCATCTGTAAAAATAATTAAAACAAAAAGCAAACGAATGCAGAAAGGTGTGCTCCTCAAATTTTAGGGCCCTCGATATTCTCTACTCAGCTTCGACGTGAACGTGTGAGTGTTTAGCATACTTTTCCACATTAAAGATTCCGCACAATTCGCAAATATCACATGAGCTAATCTGAAAAAAAAACAGGAACCGAAAATAACAGTTATTTTTTCGATGTTATAAAAGTCCGAGGAAAAATATTGTCGTAGAATAAAGTTATGAATGTTCCTTTGATCCCAGGACTTCCTAGACAAGAATTCTGGATTCTTTTTATTTTTCGAACGTTTTGGGATAAAGTCCAATAATAACTGAAAAATCTGGACTTTTGTAATAACAGTTAAATTTGGACAAATATTTTTAAGGCCGAAATAAGAGTCCGCTCCTAATAATAAACAAACCGCCTATCCAAATTTGGTATCAAATGAAAGTGGGATAAACGAAGTTTACCATTTATTTATATTTTCTTTTATTATTTAATACAAATAAAATTCATACATCTGACCCATCGCCATATTGGATCGCCCATTTTGAATTTCAAAAATCTGACATCAGATTCGAAACCAACGACCCCGAAAACCCCGCATTTTAGGGCTGCATAAACATCGGAGCACTATCAATAGTATCGATGTTTTAATAATTTTTTGAAAACATCGATGTTTTTCTTACTATCGATGTTTTTAGAGGAATGCCATAATTAGAAAGTTTATCCGTGCCAAATTTGGGGCAGACAAGAACTATAAAAATTAAAGCGTAAATTTTAACGCAAAAGCGTACCAATAAGTGTGCAGAGAAGTTATTACTAATAAAAGTGATTTTGTCAGTGCCATTCGACCTCTAATTGGGAAAATTAAGACTAAAACCCTGAAGTGTACGCTCGATTATTGCCTTAAAGAGCAAATATTTAATTTATTTAAGAAGTCATTAATTTAACACATATTAATAGCGTTGTTGCTTTATGAATATTTTTATATTATTTAAAATTTTTAATTTAATTAATTAATAACTTGCAATATTCAATGTGACATTACATAAATACAAGTCAAATTAAAATTTCAATTAATTAATGGATAATTTTAAAATAATAAATGTAATTTGTTAAAAAATTATGTTTTTTAATTTATTAGGATTTCATCTTTAAACAAAAAGTTATAATTTCCAAGAAAACATGATAGTATCGATACTATCGATATTTTATTGGCAAAAACATCGAAAAATCGATAGTTTCAAACATTGATGTTTCTGCAGCTCTACCGCATTTATATGAGTTTGTGGCGAAAAGGAAGAAATTATAAAGTCTCCATATCGGATCCGCAACTTTAAATTCTACAAATTTGACATCGGATTTTTGACCAGCAAATAGCAGTCTCCAGATCATAGTGCGCTGCAGGGAAATGGAGATTACGTGCTTCGCAGACCTGCATCCACAGGGATTCACACTGCCTGTAAGCACAGTCATTGAGAAGCTAGCTTTGTCTGCTCCACAGGATCGGAAAGTCAATTTATGCTGTATACCGGTGATGGGCACCGCCTTGCCCGCGGGCAAAGCTCTCTTAAGCTTTCTATACATTTTGTACAGGCGCCTGGAGTGTAAAAGTTATCTCTGCTCATCACTGCAGTATACCCTCTGTGGTATCACCACTTAGTTCTTTTACACTTTACTATATGAGTGTCTACTATCAGAAGGTCTACCACAACAAAAAAAAAAAAATTCAAAAATCTAGCGTATTTATGGGGCAATTTGTCTGCTTTTTTAAATATATACTGGCTATGTAAGTACACAATTTTTTGCCTAAAATAGTTTTGCTAGGTGGCGCCAAGGTCGAGATATTTTGGAAAACCGTATTAATGGTCCGATGTGGTTCGAATTTGGCGTATGTACATAGTTAAAACATAAAAAATCATAATTTTCCAAAAAACACTGGTCTACAAGGGTTTTGCGAATAAGACGGGACCTGGTGTTTCCGAACGGATTTTTCGTGCTGAACACGAATCTGGGGTCCAAAACTTCCCATCACGTCACGTTTTCGAGAAAAAAGGGGATGAAACCCCTAAAAACAGCGTTTTTGGCCATTTTGGCGACATTAAGAGTCGCTGATTACGAATCTGAAGTTAGATTTTAAAAATTCAAAATGGCGGATCCAATATGGCGGACTTAAAAATTTTTATTTAGCGAATTTCAGTTTATTTTTTATATCCACCATATTCGACCCGTCATCTTAAATTTTTAAAATC